ACGATTAAATTACGTAAATCGTTTAATCGTCACGGATTTGCATGATTTTCGAATGACGATTAAATTATGCAAATAATGAGTTTATCTTCGATTTTTTAAACGATCTGCAATGCTTAATGATGATTAAGCTGTGCGATCACAATTTGTATTGCCTAATAACTAGTTTGCATGGTTTGCATTGCTTAATTAATGATTAAATTGTGCAAATCGCCAATTAATTCCATTTTTCTAATGATGATTAACACTTAATTTACGTTTTAATTGTAATTAAGAAGTGATTTCTCCATTAAAGCAATTCATTTTGTTTATTCCTTTGGGACAGACAGGAGGATTTACTTCTGCAGTCAAACAATTAAATCCATTATATAACATAGAAATGTAGTTGTATGATGTTTAGCGATGTACTGTAGTACTTTTTGTTACTGTAGTAGTAACACCCCGCTTCTACATTAAAGAAAATTACATTTATATAATGAATGATTACTATTATTGTTACTTAAAAATGATCATAATTAGCGTCACAATGTATTTTGTTGCCGCAGAAGTCAAGTACGCGTGCATAAATCATTATATAGACTTAAACTTCTGCAGTAACAAAATGTATACGGTAGTATACAGTTAATTATATTACTAAATTACTGTGTTTTAGTAGTGATGACATAATAATAAATTGTTTTAATTTGTTTCTCTGTGTTAATGTAGCATTATCGATCTATTTGTTGCTGCAGTAACTCACAAGTAACGTTAAGTTAAAGAATGTTGCTTGTTACTGTGCAGAATATGAGCGAGAATAAGTCATTCTGTCAGCTAAAATAACGATAATACTATATGAAATTGAGTTTGAGAATGGTAGCACCATGCTTGCCTTGTTACTATAGAAGTAATATTTGCTGCTACAGTAACAAAGGTAATTGGTGAGTTAGAACAAGCGGCATATTTCGAATAGTAAGCGACACTCAAAGTTACTCGTTCATAAAAACGACACCCAAAACCATCACCTATTAAATGCTATTAAGGTAATAAAACTACCCTTAAAACAATAGAGAGATAGGGCGTTTAATTAAGCCATCCCCTCATCCGTTGAGAAAAACATATGACATTCTCACTTTACTTCTTCCCGTTTTAAGGGTGGGGAAGTACAGAATGGCCTCCTCCACCTACTGTTTGTCCCCTCACCCTAATGATTCACGAAAAACGACAAGCACTTCTGCCAATCACTCATGGATAGCATATTCATGAATAAGCAGAGATGATGACCTTCTCCTTTGCTTCTCGCTGTTTACGTGTTACTTACACTCTCTTAATTAACTCATTAACCGGTAACGGGTGTATTTTAAAACTCTTTTAACACAGTTTATTAGTATATAATCGTAGCCAGCCGTAGGAAATTTTGACTGGGGATATGTATACTTTATCGCGCTCGAGTAGGGCCTGTGAATTAGTAAAGCAGCTGCGTGTTCAGAGTCACGTGTTACACCCTAGCGTGCAGAGTTAAGCAAAGTTGGAGAGGAGCAATCGGAAGCAAAATACTCTAGCGTGTTTCCTGCTGCGAAAACTCGCCACGCGTAACGCGTAAAGAGAGAGAGAGAGAGATAGAGAACAAAATCTGTTCCTATCCCTACGCAGGATTACAGAAAGAAAAATTATTTTGACGTAGGATAGATTGCGGAGGACGAGGTTTCTGGGTTTAACCTCCCATTTTGTCCTCTACGACCTGGGCGTTATAATGACACAGTTATGAGTCTAGGGCGATGCCTCGTCTATCCCCCTACAACCAATAGGATCCTCTGTCTGGAACCGATTCGCTTCTAATTCACTTTCTACGGTGTGGTCGGGTGATCGGGACTAACCGAGGTTGTTCGGGACGTTTTGCAGAATCACACTCGACTAACTTCAGTTAAATGGAAGGGCCGAAATTCATTAAAGACGAGGAATTGTCAAAAGGTGTCCTAGTTAGAATCGTATACAGAAAGATGGGTGACCGGGGTCAGTGGGGGATGCTTGCAACAGGTGTCGAAGTTTTCTTTAAGGAAAACAAAAAAACTCGAAGAGCAATATAATCAAAGGAGAGGAAGTCCGTGTCAAGGTCGCCAAACTTGTCACGGTTACAAATTTTTTTACCCCTTTTCCTGTCTTCGCTTCTTTTTTAGTGTCCAGACAGGTTTATTCCCGTTAGACTACAGATAATGGACACCTGGTTTCGAGTGCAGGGCCCTTTATAAAGTTCGTTAACTTTCGACTCTACCAGAAAAGAAATTTTTATAAAGTTGCTTATAGAAAAAATGTTAGAAGGGGACGGTGCCGGATTAGTTGCTTCTATATCTGATAAAGTATATATCATAATGGGGTACCATAACAGTAGGGGCGACAGATGCTAATGGGTAAAGTGAAAGACCAGCTTTTTTTTTTTTCTTTTTTCTTTATTCCATAGGGCACCCCGATTAAGAGATATCGCGGTTTGAAAGCCGACAGAGAAACAAAGGACGCAAATTCTTCAAACTCCTTTTTGGCCCTGTTTCTGAGAATGGAGCCCACCCGGTCCGTCCCCATCTTCCGTACTTCCCGTGATAGATGGACCTGGATTGCCCTGGGGCACTCTAGAACGGTAGCCACAGCTGGCACTTGGAGGATCTATTGCCTCGAGCCCTTCTATGAGTTATGGGCCGGTCGGTGTCCCCGTGGCGGTGTTTGCTTTCTGCTGGATTCGTGTCCCTTTCTTCTTGGATAAGATGGTGGGTGGCCTTGGAACACCGGAGTTTTCCTTCTCTTTCCGAGGGCGGAAGAGAACAGGCCCCATTTTTAATAGCATCGTTCCGAATGTGTCGATTTGGTCCCCTCGTGTATAATATAGTCCTTATCGTCTTAGGGCCCTTCTGCTAATTTTGATTTCGAGTTGAAGTCACTGCTTGTTGCAGACCTTCAGCTGGTCGCCAGTTTTCAGTGAAAAATCATAAAAATATAATTTTGGGGTGAGCAATTCTATAATATTTTTAAAAAATTATCAAATTTTTATACCTTGCTAACATTTTAATAATTTAAGAACCAAAAAATCATGTTTATAAGGTATTTTCTTGAAGATTTTCGGCAATAAACACTTCGAATTACCTTGAGCATGCGACCTCGTCGATCGCTTTTAAATTCACGTTTCTGGCCATATTTTCTGGGATTTTCTTGGACAAATCTTCATTGATCCTAGGATCATCTGGAATCTTTGTGTAACTTAATTAAACATGATTTAACCGATATAGAAGTCGATTCGGTCATGTAGATTGCGTGACTACTACTACAGCAATGTCGAATTAATCATGTACAGGATCCCCCTCAGTCGGTTGTTATTGGGGTAGAATGTCCCATTTCGATGTTAAGAAAATCACATGACTAAATGATAACGGAAATAGGGGGTCTAAACAGAGAACGAGGAATAAACCTCCCTACACTTCAGCAGCTGCACTTATACATCGAGACTGTGAAAGGACGACATTTATTTATTACTTCTGGAAAAAAGGCAAAATTTTGGCAGGGAAGAAAAGGCCTTCATGGAAACAGTCTGTCTAATATCGTTAATCTAAATTGTATCCACTGAGATAAGGTGTGATGTCGCAGCACGGAGAGCAAAGGGTTGGAAGTTCGACACCTCCGCTCGATGCGTTAAAAAACGATTAAATCATCGATTTTAATTATTTTCTGTGGTTAAGTGTGAAGAAAATGAGCCCTTATAAGGGGATTTTTTGAGGGGTTGATCTAAATGAAGCACACATTTGTTAAGTTAGAAGCGTCTTCGTAAATTAAACATGTGACAGATATGAATCGCTCCCGATACTGAGCCCATCACGCGACAGTTATCAAGTATATTTGGGAAGTGAAAGGTGCAGTCCTGAACCGGAAACGTCAACGTAAAGAAGGATTTTTTTTTTCAATCTGAGAAAAGACCAGACCCGCCGAGCAGCCAGGAACAAATCGCAGAAAAATCTTTTTCCTTACAGAACAACGAAAATGAACACCGGAAACAGACCGTAACAGACCCTAGTCTAGACAGAAGTTGGGGAAACGGCCCCCTAAACCGGAAATGACGCCATCGTCGCGTGCCGAAACACGTGACAACACGTGCCACGAACACAGCGCGAGTGGAAGCATCTGGGAAGAGGGGAGGAGCGGATCATCCCCTACTCGGCCTGCCTGACGTCACGGCTTAATTATTATCTTCTCATCTGCAACCCGTGACGTCACCGGCGCTTAGCCTACGAGTAGAAGAGGAGAAATGCCACACTCCCTCGCGCACAGACGTGATCAGGCAATGATCCGACGTGAAAATGAGGTTGCCGACGGGAATTCATTACCTTCTACCAGCACATACCTGGCTGGTGACCTGTCGTTTGTCGTGTGTGGTAGGCCTCTTATGCATCTATGAACATTCCAGGTGATTCAGAACAAGTTACACCCCGGACTAGCCTTCTTTATGTCCTTCTGAATGAGTTCTGATATCACTACGTCACCGACATTGCTCTATAAACGATTATGCAATCCTTTCGAAGGCACGAGACATCGTGTCAGTGTAGGAACATACATTAAAACGATTTTCACCCCGTTAAGTTGGTCTCGTAGAAGTAGTCTTTCCCACAGAACAACTTAACCCTTTCCACTGTTGTCCCGTTTCAAAGTTTTCTAAATACCCCACACAAACTGGAAAATCTCACACAGGTGTTTGACCTTTTAACCCTTCGAAAAAAACGTCCATTTTACTACATAAAGTTGGCTCAGAGTGTATGCTCGCCTTACAGCCCATCGACAGTTAATTCGCTTTCAAGTGCCGCACCATCGGGGGATCCCCGGCATAACAAAAAAAAACCTATCACCACCCTCCCACGAGATGGCCTTCTCCCCCGCCATCTTCCGGGCCCCGTGCGGCGCAACACTCGATAGAAACAGCCTATAGGCAGTGGCAACACTGTAGATGCCGACACGTGCCGTGACGTCGCACCAGCTGACTTGTCATCCCTGCTTGACCTTGATGCGCATCTAAGACGATGGGGCCAGGTATGGAAGAGGTAGAGGGACAGGTGTGAGGATAAATTAAGCGCAATTTGCGAAAGGTAAAGTCTCCACCTGGCTGCGTGTCCTTCCCCCTCTCCGCCTCACCCCTCCGCTATACATAGACCATACCGGAGCTACTACAGCACCCCCCGAGCCGAGCGTAACAGTCGGCTTCAGTCAAGCCCACGAAGAGGTCGTGTTGTGTTCAGTGTGTGTGTGTGTGTGCAGCAGTTCGACACCCATGGTCCGCCAGTGGCTGAGATGGGGCTGCAGCCCCCAAGTCAGGACGTACGTGTGTGTTGATCACGTCCAATTATTGTGCGATCAGAGGACTATTTTCGCTCATCGTTTATCCAGAATTCGCACGGGTCTAGCCGGCGTTCTTTCAGGTAAGTGCGGGCCTGCGGGCCTACTCTACACATCTACCTCGTCGCAGACATGTTGGGACCAGGTTGCAGTCTGCAAACAATATCCCTCAAGGTCTTGGCTCCCATCCAAGATATGTCAGGCAAAGGGTTAACATACTGTGACGTCAAGCATTTCGTCCGGATTTCCAATGTTCACTCTCCACTCCCGGCATTATTATTATTATTTTTTCATATTATTATTGTAATGATTTTATTTTTATTTTTTCCTGCGGAGGCGGAAGTGTAAACGGACGGATCAGACGATAACTCGGTCGCTTTTCTCAACCCCCGGTTGCTAAACATAACCCGTTCCGGCGCTCCAATTCTCTAATCTATCGCATCGAAACGCTTTACAGAGCATTCCTCGTGGGTGGCCCCGTCGAAAATTTCGATTTTCGACCCCAAAATTCTTAGTAGTTTCTAGACCATTAAGCCTTTTCTGCTCCACCCCATATAAAATCGCTGAACGTGAAGGAATGGTTAACGATGTGCTTTTTTAAATCGTCGTGACAGTTAATTAACATAAGAAGGGGGAGAGACAGAAAAGAAAAAAAAATCGCTAGAGCAATGGCTCTTAACGTCCTCCAACTTTATCCGAATCGGGGGTAAAGGAGAGCAAAGCAAAGGCGGCTGCAAATGTCTAACTAAATGTGCAGCAGCCGAGCCAGGTGGCCGCGGGATACATCCGGGATCTAGGGTGCTGTGGCTGCTGGCTACTCCACCCCGCACATTCCCGGAGCTCCATTCTCGAAATAGATGCTGGGACTTTGGTCCCTTCCGACAGGGCGTTCCTGTTGGGGCGTGGTAAGAGGATCTAGTTCCTACTAAAAAAGAAAGAATTTTGTGCGTCCCGGGACGTTTTAGACCCTCCCACACTCGTTTATCCAGCCCGTTTTCGTTTTTGACCCATTTCTACTCCGGTTAATAATAGGTCAGTCGGGGAAACCGAAGCCCTTCTGTGTGTCTGTATTCCGCAGGACCGCCAATATCTAGAAACCAATGAGTTTAATTAATGCTACAATAAAACGCTAGTGTGTTAGCTACATCCGCCCCTCAGTTAAATGCCTATTATTATTCTAAAACGCTCCATTTCACATAAATCTGTTTCAACAACAAAAAAAAAAGTGCTGATAGGTTAACTAGGTCGGTCTGTCCGTTTCACTAAAGTCTATTGACTCGTAATCAATTTCGATAAAGCGATAGCGTGTTCGTTCCTCGCTAAATTTAATCAGTTTCGGTGTCCTCCGAAGCCATCCGAATACGGAAATGCACATACGAAATCCTCTATTATTTACGTAAACATTACTCAGTCCGAGTGTGCTGCTCTTTTCGATAGTCTTCCCCCTCTCGATACTCCAATCGAGACCTACCGAGTTTACCAGGGGGGGTAAGAGATTAACATGCCACGTGACAGATTATCTACTCTTAATCTGGCACGTGGCGCCTAGGCAGCTGGCGTCGGGGGACACTTCTGAAACGCGTAAACGTGCGATATAAAGTTCACGTGTTTCTGCAAACGGATAAAGCCCTATATTGCTGTAATAGCACGAGTACGGTATAAGTGAAGTAACATTCAACCCAAGCGATTAGTGTCTCGTCTCTCATCTTTATTGCCCCTTATACTGAGTGGCCCTTTGCCTTGGCCACCCTTCTCCCTATTATGAGGTAGGGTCCGATTGTGTAGAGTTCGTGTACGCTTTACAACATCCAATATATTACAGTAATATATAAGCACGAGGCATTTGTTTAACAGCTTGTTTCTAGAGGGGATAATGTATGCCGCTGTAGGAATAAAACTAGCACGTCTCCGACACTAGACTATAATTTTGATAGCGGTGTATCACCTAATATGGAAAAATTAATTACAAGTACTGTTGTATTTTCTAGGCCCAGGGTGGCTCCAGAGGACCAGCCCAATGTGTCATCCAGTCCTCCTATTGGTTCTTCTAACGTCTCTTCTTTTCAGGTTTACAGGTGAGTCCGTTTTTTTACCCTCTTTCGGAAAAATAAAAAAATAATAATAGTAAATAATCGTATTCATCTTTCACGTGCAATTTTTCATACCTAACACCTTCTGGATACTCTCTAGAAAAATTCGGAGCTTGAACGTGTTTACTGCGCGTAACTATTCGTAGTTTAAATCTGCTTGCGTTAAAAAAAAGCTTCCACGTGTCATAAATATTCTAGAATTATTTTCTTATCTAGAAGCCAATTATAGATTTGCTAAGATCCAATATATTTTCTGCGTTAAAATTTGCAAATTATTGAAGAATGGTTGGCAAAAGAGGAGAAAACTGAATAACAATAACGTTTATACTCCATAATTATTCCAGATTTTCCTGTTTGTTTTTTTCTAGAAGCTTCAAGAGCGTTTTTTTTCTAAGAGTTTAAGATTTCCAAATCGTAGTTTATTAAATAATCTAGGCATTTAGTAATACCTAGAACTGCATTAAAATAATCTATAATATGTTACAAATATTCTAGAAATGTTATTTTTTCAAGAGGTCTTAGAATTCTCCTAAATCGGCATTATCTACAACTAGAAATGAATAAATATCGCAGAATAATTCGCCCAAGGATATATTTTATGCCCTCGATCATTGATATTATAGATTTATTAATATTCTCTGGTCTTCTAGAGCAATTAATTTTCTAGAAGTCTTTGTAGGTTTGAAAGCGTTCTGTCCAGTCCTAGAATATTGATAAGATTATTGTTATCGTATATATATATTCCAGAAATATAACTTTTCTAGAAGCCTTCTAGCATGGTAATAATTTCATAAAGGTTTTAATTACGCCATTTAAAATCCATACAAGCGACTTAAGGCTATCAGAAAATCGTAAATTGCACCAAGCCTCTGGCCATAACCTCTAATAACCCAATTTTTCCGATCGTTACATCAGCCTATAGGCTATTAATAGACATATAACAATTAACATAGATAAAAGTATATTCTAGAAAATTTTTTCCCGTCAAAATTTCGATGTTTTCGCTGATGTAAACTCTTTTAAAAACTGTGGAAAGAATAAAAAAACAACAAGAAAAGAAAAGAAAAGAGGGGGGTCAACTGCAGTCTACCGGAACAGAATCTACAATCAGTCAGCCGTTTCTACACACGTGCAGAGCAGGCGGCCTAGCTTTGCATGTCTGGACTGGCTGCGTATCCTCAACACAACACAACTTCCACTTTTTTTTTCCAAAGGGCTTACACCTTTACCCCATTTTCTTACTTAAATTCTGCCACACGAAGGTACCACGTGTTCTCTCTCCTCTAGTCACAAAGGATTAATTGAAGGTAGAAGGTAGGCACGGGGGCTTTTTTTTTCTCTCCTCTTCTCTTTTTTTCCCTTCTCCAGACCGGTGTTGTTTCCTGGGCTTTTGTATACCCGGGGGAAGGGGAAGTATGAGAACCCCCACCGGTGCCACGCGTTTGTAGAAAGGTGAGCCAGGCATGGCGTAGCAGATGGCTAGTTGCCTGAGCTTTTTTCGTTCGTGCTTATCCCGTCTCCCCCTTTCGATTCCCCCCATCGGGTCGGGCATTGGGCGGGGGAGAAAGACTCACTACATGTCGTTACTGCTAATGTAATTGGTGGAATTACTTCCCATTAGATCGTTCACCGCAACTTGGGTAAGTTTGGCGGTGGCACTTCTGTTTTTTGGAACAATGGGAGGCTTGATTGGCACCCTTAAACTGACCTTTCACCTTTATAGAAGCGATACAGTCGCTACCTTTCGAAAGGGTTGCGGATTCGTTGTATATTTGGGCATTCTTAACGACTTTATCGAAATGGAAAGGTTACGCCAGACGAGCTCGGTGTACGCTTGCCATTCGTGAGGGCACAGGTTCGAATTTAAGGTCAAGTCGCTACCGAAGACTTCATATCCGGAGGCGTATCGGGAAAGCAGACGCAAGCTCCCTCCTGTGCCCCTAGGGATTTCCTCTCGCACGCGCTCAGGGCCTCCCGATCGACGTCAGGCATGCCTTCCGCCCCGAGGTCACCTTCGCACATTTCACGACATATGCTGCGCGTGCACAGCACGTGCTGTTCCTCTACTTCTATTGTCTGTTCCCTTCAGCTTGCCCTTAACCCCCTCACTTCCCCTAAGTCGAGAACAGACGCCACCGTGGAGCTATCTCTATTGGCATAAGGTGAGTTGAGTTGTCTAGCTAACAAAGACGCGCGACCCGCGGGCCCTGCCTCTTCTAACCAAAGACAAAAGCCCCCCATTAACCCAACAAAAACAAGAAACCCAACTCGGACGGGGATGGCAACACTGGATCAATGTTACGAGCGTCTGGATTTGCGAACCGCAGCGTGTTGACATCTTTGCTTTCCCTTCAGCTAACCAGCTGACTGAGGGACCAAGGGGAGATCACGCCAGATGCTCGTAGCAGACTTTTCATTCAGAGTGTCCCCTTCATCTCAGGTTTCCTTTCCCCCGCACTTCCCCTCCTCACTCACACACACATACACACACACATACACACAGACCGGCTGCCGAACGCGTGCCGCACTATATATAGATTGACCTCGGATTTGTACTATCCCTCCACTTTTTTTTGTAGAAAGGAAGTTGCGACCCTGTGTGTTCAGTTTGTGGAGATCAGTATTCGTGCGGCAATTATGCAGGAAACTAATATTGAAAATACCTACACACTCGACAAATAAGGAGATTTTGCTATGGGGACCCCCTTTTGCTAATTAAAATTAATCGAAATCCTCACGTAAATTGACCTAGATACGAGGAATACTCCCCTGAAAATGTCTAGACGTAGCTCTAAAATTAGTTAATCGATAGGCTTTAGAAGGGGAGGGGGTCGAATTTTCATATGATTAGAATTTTATAGTGTCGAAATTCTACGGAAATTCCTGCACTAATGGGCTAATATTTTGGCATTAAAAATTTCCAGAATTCCAGCTACTCTAAATAACCACTTTGAAGGATTTCTAGGATTGGATTTTCTACAACTGGATCGCTAGAATTTCAAGATTTCTTACCACTAAATAATAATTAATTTTGAGACTTAAAAAAATCCCTACTAAATGATTTACATGGATTTCTAGAAGAAATCTCTAGAATTGTAGAGGCTATAAGAAATTCTAGATTTAAAACAGAATTTCTTGAATTCTAGCGAACATTAGTAATTTTGACAGCTACAGAATTTTTAATTCTAGTGTTTGTCAAAGATTCTAGAGACTGAGAGGGTCTAGAATTTTAATTCTAGAGACTATTCGAAGTGGTGATTCAGACAAACTGTTTAATAATGTTTTTATAAACAGAACTCAAGGATAATCACACTAGGATTTCTCGCGGTTTATCTGATATTTATCCTTAATTGGGATTATAAACAAAACTATTCCAAATAAGTGTTTGAATAGAAAATTACAATTGAAATTTCTCTGAATAAATTCCTCAATAAGTCACACTGGAATTACTCGAATTTCCTCTGAGTAAACTATTTAAGTCATTATCTAGATTTGTGAAGTGATTAACATTAAATAAATGAATAATATCTAAACTAGTTGCATAGTAATCTCTCAGAAAAGGAAAGTCAAGTATCTGTATATAAAGTTTCTGCTTCTGAATTCTAGACTTTCCTACTGTTTCCCCTAAAATCCTCTAAATTCTCTATTGTAACTCTTCACAGTTTCTACAGAAGTTTAAATCGAAGTAAAATGTTAAAATTTGATAACATAACAACTGCGACAATAGAGAATGAAGTTCTAATCCAAACACCTACGTCTAAACCGCATAAAAACCCTCTGTTTCACACTAAGTAATCCTCAGGATATCCTTTGTTCGTGCGCTACTTTTTTAGCTTACTCATTCCTGTTTACGAAGTACAAATTTATGAGATTCGAATGGAAAATATACGGGGGTGGCCGATTGTTACGGCTTTTATTAATTGCTTTTTATACTTAGAGTCATCGAATTTGTCGAATTGTTATTGAGTTTTAGTGATTGTTAATGCGTGTTATTGATGTTTTGTTAGTGTTATGCGGTTAGGTCGGGTGGGTTGTAACGAGCTTTAAAATTGTTGCAACCGTCCCTCTATCACGAAACTTCTTTCGTCACACAATAAGGAAACTTTGTGAGAAATCCTACACTCCTAGTCAAGGATAATTTTTAATTACAAGAAAATCTCCATAATGAAAGTTTTCTTCTCTTTATATATCTTTTTTGACCTATAACCCGGTAATGAATAAGTACAACCATCCGTCTAATAGTAAGAATTTCGGGTATAGAAGCTCGAAAATCGCTCTATTTAAACAAATCATTGATATTTTAGTAATTGTTAATGGAAGTTATTGATTTCTAGCGATTGTTAAACCTTGCTAGCATGCAACCAACTCTTGGTTCTTCACACAATAAGGAATTTTACGAAAAATCTTACACCCTACTCATTCTTAATTGCAAGAAGGGGTGATGGGCGGAGAAGACGACCCCCTTAAAAATATGCCCCCCAAAACAAAATACTATAATTCAGATCTTTATCGTTATCTAACGGTAGATAGGACTAATCGAGAATGAGAACTCTCGCTGATTTTTAATGTGACCCAATAAAAGTGACGCCTTGGGCCTGTGTGTTTATGTAGTCGCTCTTTGTTGTTAATGCATTAGTTAGAGGATGATTATAGACTTGGTGGAAGAGATAAGAGGTCTAGATTATCTTCATTTATCCCAATTAATCAGATAACAAACAAAGGAGTGGTTTCGGTAGCGCCACGAAATCGTCTACGTGTTCGTTACGAGACTAGCTATACCCCTTACAATAGGATATAAAAGGGATTACACAGTTTTGATCGAACAGATAATCGTTTATACGACCGAACAAGAGGTCTAAAGTGAATTTTACAGTAACTATAACTAATTGAATGAGAGTTCTTCCTCTTAGAAGACTTGGCGTTGTCTAGAAAGTTTGTTAGATACAGCACTGGGTTCGAATCTCACTTAAAACAGTATATCCTTTCACATCAAACAATTGCCTTACTGTGCAGCATCACAATACTCTTTTGTTAATTGTATCGTTGTTTGTGTAATTAAATATTCTTAATTCGTAACAAGTAATAGTTTTTGACTTCAAAATTGTTATCGTAAGAGTATTTTTGTCGCGATATCTGCCCGTTGACAGTGTTTATCAGTGTGACAACCGCGTCGGTGCAGGTGAGAGTGGAGTGCAGTTCGTTACAGGTTTACAGGGTGCACGCGTGCTAAGAATTGTTGTTCTGCGTCAAAGACCCCGCTACCAGCTGGCCCAAGGCTCTTTCTTCGACCGGGTCTTTTCTCTCCTCCCTTCTTCCTTATCTATCCTTTAAAATGAGGGGGTGGTTTTAGTCCCGTGTCTAGTCGCCGACGTAACAAAAATGCTAGTTATTTTATATAACGCTGCCTTCCAGATGCAAAAGGGCAGCTGCCGCGCGTGGGTGTTATAATGCGGCTTGAATCCCCGTCTGGGTTCCCCCCTCTCCGTGTTTATCCAAATACCAACAGATGGCACGGGGCGCAGTAAAAGTGGCAGCGGCGAATGCATTTTCCGATCCACAAAAGGCCCATTTTTTCCCCCACCCACGAGTCCCCGACCCCACTGACAGGTAAGTCTAGTTAGGTTACCTATTGTGTAGACTGTGATAAACGTCCCCCAGCAATGTTGCCACCTCCAAAACCCGACGTAACTAGAATTCGGCATTAATTAAGAGCCGACTGTACACTTTCAACTCTTCGAAACGAAACAAGGAAATGTACACTCGGCACCCAAGGATGCACTTAACCTTACTTGTTCTCGATTGTTTTATTGTTCTTTATGTTAATTGCGAAGCTTTCAGACCTCGTACGTCGGGTCTTCTATTGTTGCATTTGTAAGCTATTAAGGAACTGTGTTGAGGGAAGGAGACAAGGACACGTTGCTTGTATCGATGTTTATCTCCAACTCTGATATTTGTTTCTGTTTCTTTGTCGGATAAACACCATTATAACGTAACCTAGATGTATATAATAGGCGCGAAGATTTAACATTTAGATAGTAAATCGTTCTTTAGTGATTATTTTTATAGCATTTACTAAAACGGTTCCGGTTTCGTAGGATATATTCCTTTGTATCGTTCGAACTTGTCTTAAGCGTAGGTGTTTATTATAGCTATCACAATGATTATATGTCTAAATATACTTACGTACTATAGGTGCATATTGTAACTTAAAGATTCTACTTGTTGCTATATCAAACGTATTGTGTACATTCAATATCAGTAAGTACAATCCATAACTTTCGACTCTAAGTCTGTACATCTACATTAAAAAAAAAAAAAACACTTATAATTCTAACAGATGATAATTATATAGAGAAATGTAACACTTATTTAACAAAAATGTAAAATTTAAGAATGTAAAAAAACTGTTAAAATACTTCTAAAAAATAATAAAATTAATTGTGCAAGAAATTCAATTGTTAAAATAATAAAAATTCTAGAAAAACTGAAATATATTCTAGATAATAGGATGTCAAGAAGTTAATTGTTGAAATTTACGACTTTCTGGTACGTTTGTGAAATAGACAATTTCTAGAAAACTGATAAATTTAACAATACGAACGAATTCATAGTTGAAAGTTAAAAAAGTTTTCTAGAAAAAGCGTGGTAATCGACAATGCTAGAATATCAATTGTTGAAATTTACAACTTATCGAGTACGCGTGAAACATACAACATTTGGAAAACCACGTAACAATTACAGAAAGTGTATTCTTGAAATTTACAATTTTTCTAGAAGAATTACTATAATTAACAATACAATAAAACTAATAGGATATAAACGAAATACAGTATATAACTTATTTAACACTGCTGGAAATTAATTGTCGAAAATCACAATTTTAGTTTCCAGAGAACGAAAAATTTTTTAATTTCAATAAAATCGGAGAGGAAGAAAAATCAAGAAATTTAGCAATAAAAAAAAGAAATAAACTGTTTAATATGTTACGCATTTATTGGGACTGGCGGTGATAAAAATGCTACTATAATAACAGACTTTAGTCGACACACGGAAAATATTGTTTAAAAAAAAAAAAAAAAGACAATTATTGCTTTTCAAATATGTTTCTATAATATACAAGTTACAAACTATAATTTCGTTATTTTAATGCTACATTATCTCGAAGTGATGTATCATTTTTATAGCATACTACTTTAGGAATAAACGCGTTATAATACGCTACTGTAGTAATTAGTACACGGGTGTATCAACCATACCGGCTCGGCTGTAACTGTATACCAACAAAGCAATCCGATACGACACAAGCTTACCACGCTGCCAAATGCTATAATAGCACGCGAATAGCTTTATTACTTTAATAGCATCAGGTAAGAGATAAAAAAAAAAATGGCAGAAAAAAGGGCTGTGAAGGAGGTAGTACACTACTGCAACCGATTATACACGAAAGGACTCAAATAGTCACAAGTGGTGATTATTGGTAAATTAGGGGATGCGAACGAATTTTTTTTCTGTTTTTTTTTTTTTTTTTTGCTACTCACCGCTCGATACTTTTTCAACTCAGTGGACCGTCGGCGGCCTAGCAATGAGTAGGGAGGATGCAGTCATTAGTGCTAGTACGGTGGCGGCAGCGGGGTAAGAAAGGGGAAGACAGGCGTGCACGAGACTAAATTGAGTAAACGTGCCCACGACACTTCCCCCACTAGCTGACGTCATCCGATCGAGATGTGCCACCCAACTTAGAACGTAACGGAAAATTAAACTTTGTTTGTTTGTCTAGATCTGTTGTTATACACGGTTTTGTTGTTTATCATCCCTCATAATGATATCGGGGGGGGGAGATGTTTTTTGAGAGATTTCGAATATTTTGCGGGGTGTAGCGGGATTCTTTGTTTGGGAGGTGTAACAAGAGGGGTGGAAAAACCTGCGGGTCTTCTTGTGAGGTCCACTTTTCGGAGGTCACTTTACGCCGAATCCTTTTTTTTTTTTTTTTTTTTTAAACTATAAATACGTGTTTTAGATACAGCTATTTATATCGCGTGTTCCTCTTAAAAGTCGGAAACTTTAAAATCTCGCAAGTAAAAGTAAAGATTTTAATGATTAAGCAATTTGAGGAAAGTAAATTACAGCGAAATACTTAAAAATTCATCGATATAATAATATTTTGATTTAAAAACTTCAATAAAGTACGTCACCTAATTTAAAATGGTATAAAGATAAAATATTTTGAAATTCTTTCGATGCTTGTAGTGATTCTCAAAAGGATTTTCGTGACTAATGTTTAGTTATAATACTAAAAATATTCAAAGAAGGAGATCGTCGTTCATTGATACCGGAAGTGACGTACCGAAAATAGTAAAATATTTTTTTCTTTTTCTTTTCTTCCCCCACGACTTTTCTTTTTTTAGAAAAGGGAGGGGTTTCTGCGGTACTTCAATATTAATCGAGGGCTTTTCCTTTAAGTGGTAACTTTTTTTTTTAGTTCGTAGAATAGGAAATTCCGTTATTTCTATTCATTACTCCAGGTTGCACAAGGTTTAGAATTATTGCATAATTTATTTACTGTGATACAGGATATAAAATTCCATGCAAATATAGGAATTTATACAGTAGTATAAATATAATTTGAACACGTAAGTGGTAAATTATAACTTTAAAGCGAGGAAACTTAGCAGGAAAAGCGTACAGGAAGCTACGAGAATTTAATTAAAAAAATGGGCTACTAAAGCGTAAAAAAAGTGAATTAATGATTTTATTAACTTAATAATCCGTGTATACAGTTTATTTGCACTGTAATTACATTTGAAATACGTACGCACAAAATGATAATCGTAAGAAGGTGAACCTAGAAGGTTTCTAACATATAAAAATGGGGTAAACACGAACTCTGAGAGACTTGTTATGTCCTAAGCTATAGCATATAATAGGCCCTTTCCTTTCACTAAATAATAGTGTAAAAATATAAGGCTCTAAGCTCTAGGGATGCCCTAGGCCGTAGCTTATTTAGTTAACCTAATATACGGATCAGGCCTCTTCTCAAAGGGCCTTATATGCACATTGAACTATTACAATGACCAAAGTACTTGAAGAAGATTGTATAAGGAGCTATCAATGTATGGATGATTAATTGCAAAACAAAAACATATTTAAGTAAGCAGTGATGTAACTTATGGTAAGAATGGCGTAGGATGATAATGGTATACAGTAATGGTCCATTGAAGTTCGGCCCATTGATGTACAGATTACAGAGAACTATTAAGGTATAATCTTTAAAAAAATGACCCATTACATTGTCTTTTTTTGAATAGAAAATAATAATTTGTAGCTATAAATTTAAGTATTAATATCATAAAATACTAAATTATATATTAGATTTTATCTTTATTTTCCTTTAGGTCTAAACAAGCAAAAATTATGTTTGTTAGAAGACTTTATAAATACTAAAAATTAATTAAAATATGCTTAATCAATGTTCAACAAAGCGTAAATCATAATGTTTTTAACGTCTGTTTACATTATTTAGCTATTTACGAGGGAGAATGCGGGGAAAAATAACGTCGTACGCAGAGAAAATTCAAAATAAACGAAAATAAAAATAACTTAATGACTAAGAAAAATGAGTTTAAACAGAGTGTTAAGTGTGTATTTTAAAAGCACTGCACACAAAAAAATGTATTTTATTGTTTCATACAAGTACTTGCAATTCACACTTGCAATACCTACACTTTTAGTACTTATTTATAGAGTACTTACACTTATAGTACTTACAATACTTATTTATAGTACATTTACACAGTACAGTATTTATACTTACAGCATAGTTACACTCGCAACAGCTTACAGTATTTACCTGCAATACAATTACAGTATTTATGTTTACTTATACAAATAAGTACATTAAGTGTTTACACGTACCTAATAGTACACAAGTTTATTGTTAAAGTAAAATCAATAAAAAACACACTTTAAAAACTAATTTTCTAGAAACAATACCGAACTTTTTATTGAGAATTGCAATAGATTTATTAAATAAATATTTCAGATTTCTTGGATTTATTTTTTATATGTTAAGCGTGCGGATGTTTGTCTAATGGGCATGTTGGTTCCGTCCAATTTAATGAATTAGTTTAAGACGAATTGTAAACGTGATGTGGGCGCTTTGTTTATTTTATCCGAATTCTCGTCCGTTCCTTAACAACTTCCTAGCTAGATTCGTACGAGCGAAACACACCTTGTTATGTTCTACGCAACAGAAGATTCGAAGGTCATCGATCCTTTGTTCCTCTTATATAAAAGATAGTATTAAAACATGTTTTCTTTTACCAGAAAAATAAAGAAAAATTATAAGAAAAAAAAAGGGGGGAGGGGGGATTGAAAAAGACTCCTGTTCGATTTCCTCGAACGATACGTAACTTTTATAACTTATTTATTAATACCCAACCAAGCGAAACACGCAGAAAACAGAAGGATATCGAATCGTTTACAACAGTTTGGCTCCTATTCAGTATAAGACTTGGTATTTAATTTCGAAGTATTGCACAGGACGAAGCGATCCTGACTCGTTTCTTGTATCTCTTCTTCGTTTATTTTGCTGCGCAGGACTGGTTTTACTGGTCACTCACCTTCACAGGCCGCCGCACAACTGATACGTATTTTCTATCTTCGCTCGTGCTTCAAAGGCATCCCCCTCCCATTTATGCAGGGAACACTGCCCAAAATGTAGCCAAATCTTTTCTTTTTTAGCGGAATTCAAGCTAGAAAAATAGCTTAGTGAGGGGATTTTTGCACATTTCTGGTGAAGTCTTCCCTATTTAGTTTAGTTTTTTTTTTTTTTTTTTGGCGGGTTGTACCACCTGGACAACCTCAATCGGGAGCGCGCGAGAGAGTGAGTGAGAGAGAATGGCATAAATTTTCGTAGTGACAGTAATAAATTGAAACTAACGATTCGTAACGATGTTGGAATAACAACTAATGAAACGTTGGAAAAGAAATTCCGGAATGTAACTTTAACGCTTGGTAGAAATACAATTACGCCAACAGTTGAGCCAAGCGATGAAATCTTAATTACGAATTAACTTTGTTACACTGAAAATTAAAAACTAAAAACAACCAATAAAGAAAAAGAAAATAAAAAAGAAAAAAAAAATTCCTTACGAAACACTAACCTCGGAAACTTACTAATTAGACCGTGTTTAGCGGTATTTAGGGAGGTTGATGATTAGAAAGCGAGTTTTCTGATATGATACGTTGAGCCTTAGGATCTACTTTCCACCTGTCCCTCGCAGAATTGCACCTGGTTACGATAGAAACGATCTGAGGGGCCTCAGAGGGTATCCGAAAGCCTGCCGGGTTTGCAAGAACGATTGTAACACTTTTATATTAACAGAAACGATGTTTTCGATCGTGTTACTGCACTTCGTATGAGGTTAACCGAAGCGCGAAAATGGTGGGCTCGAATTACTTCTTTCATTCTTCACCCTCTTCTACGACTTTAGCGTAAAGCATACAAACACATATAAAACAGTCATTTATGTGCAGTTAAATCTTTGACCAAAAAAGAAAAAAGAAAACAAAAATGGCGAATGAAAACGAGCATTATAATTAGAGTGATGTATTCTTTACAGGAGCATGTTCTTCTCGTTCTACACCAAAGCCACGAGCTCCATCACCTACTATGAGGCCAAATATTACCTTCCAGACATATGCATGTCCAGAAGCATACGCTAAATGGTATTGCCTGAACGGAGCAACATGCTTCGCAGTTAAAATAAGAGATTCCATTCTATATAATTGCGAGTAAGTATATAAATTATGTGCTGCAAACATCTGTGTACGATGTTTTTTATAGATGCATTCAATTTATTATAATTATTATTACTTTTTTCTAGATGTGCGGATGGATATATGGGGCAGAGGTGTGAGTTTAAAGATTTGGATGGCTCGTACTTGCGTAAGTATATTATATTTTCTCGTAAAATTTGCATGCCAGAGTAGTCGAGTAATAAATAAAGAAAAATTCATAAATTTTTTCAAAAAAAAAGGTTAAATTTTAATTTAAATAAAGGCGTTTTAAACACCTTTTGTGTTTAAAAATGTTCTAATAATGAGTGCCTCCATCTGGTGTTAGTATGAGCAAAATTATTATTTTTTAAAATTAATTCTATTTAATTTAATTAGTTGAACGCGTTTAAATGGTTAAATCAAATGTTTAATTTATAAAAAAAAATAAAGTTTGGGTGGGTTACCGTAAGCGAACTGAATTAAACAGGAAAGAGAGAGGCAAAAAAAACAGCGCGAAACATTTTGCATGGGTTTGGTAATTGCTACCGGAAGCACGCTAGGGGTAACAAGGGCGCTACTGTCGCCCATGATAAATGGTAGGTGCAATCACGTATTTGACTTCTAATTTTTTTTTCCTTTTCCTCTGTTTTTTTTTTATGTAGCGGCCAGAGAAAGAGTGATGATCGAGAAGGCAAGTATAGCGAGTGGAGCAGCCATCGCCATTTTATTGGTTTTTGTCATTTCTATAGCCTTCTACATTTACGTCAGGTGAGCCTTAATATAAACACGTTATATTTTAAATATCATGAATTCGAATATAAAATTTAATTCGAAATTTTTGATTATTCATTTTTATTTTTTATTTTTTTACAGGAGATGGGGTCGAATTAAACGGTTAACACCGGTGGTTATCACGCACAGAAAGTACTTTCTTACACAAAACACTTTGCGTGACGTTTGTTGGCATCACGCTGTTACACTGGTGAGTATTTTCTATCCGTTTGACCGTGAATTAAACTGGAGGAAGAATGATAAATGCCCTGAATGCGATAGGATATACTATTTTAATACTAGGATTGAAAAATATCAATAGCGCGTGAAGCCTTTACTTGTTTATTTCCTGAAGACGTCATTGCCCTTTGCAAGAATTGTATCTTTTATCTCTATTTTAATACTAAATTTCGCCCATTTTTGGCACTAAAACATGATCCGAATACTTAATTAGAGAGTGCAAAAAATTTCATGCCAATGTTAAATATTTGAATATTCAGCATTTCTTAGGTGGCGCTCTGATATGCAAAACATGCGCGTCTTCTCTAACAGCGCCACCGCGTTGTTAATTGCAGATTACGCTGTAATTAGAACGATCGTAGCGCCACCTGCGAATTAAATACATATTTATTAATTTTTTTCTTTTTTTAACATTTTCTCCCGGATTTATTTCTTAGATTTCTACTCCGATTCCTTTTCTGTATATAAAACGAGAGAACCTGAGCGCAGAATTTTTGCTGGAGAATATCCGGGTTAGAATCCTGTTCGATTTTTTTTCTCCCACTCTATCTATCCAATCGCTGTTACGCGAATTAAACTCCTAGAAGATAAATAACGTTACTTAAGCTGTCCTAACTAGTTTAATATCAGTTTAATCAGCTTTAAAAAATATATATATATTAAACATCACAAAATTCCCTACCCCAAAATCTTTATATGAAAGTTTTAGTTTAATACCGAAAACTTTTTTTTTTTAATTTTTCGATGACAGGTTCGCCCACCCGAATTCTATACAAACTTCTTTTCTCTTTCAGGATCCGGATCCAGGTTACAGCGGGAGTCACACACGAATTCAAACCATATCCACACCCTAATTACGTGGAAGAAATTGAAGGAGGAGCAAAAAATTATAATATAAGAGAAAATCTACTGAGAAAATGCATTTGAAAAGGGGTGAAAGCAACCATTAATCAGTGTGAAAATGGCTACAGAGACGATACTTGGAGTGTAAATAAGAACTCTATGAACTGTCGTCTAAATTCGGAAATAAGCCATTTTCAAAAATGGAGGACTTTGTCGCCCAATAACTGAAGGAACGACCAAAAACCTAAAAAAATATATTATTATTTTATATTATTATTATTATTATTATAATTATTATTATAATTATTATTATTATTATTATTATTAACCTGTCTCGATTATATATACAGTATATAGATAGAACTTAAGGTCAGTGACAAGTCGACATAAACAGGTAAAGTTGTTCCATAAATTAAATTGAAAACGAGAACTATAGCATTCCTATGTAAATTAACCATCTTGGCTCTTTTTTTTTTTAAATATGTGCTCTAGATATCTTTTTAATATATTGTATATTCTGTTTTACTCGTTTGTTGAGATTTGATATTCCCTAAAATGCCTAAATCCTTTTAAAAAAAACCAGTTTATACATTCCCATGCTCGTAACAACCAAACCGTGAAGCGCTCTTTGCGCATTTCAGAGGATTCAATTGTTAATCGTTATTTATACAAATTAATCATAATTAACTTAAGCTGTCCTAACTAGTTTAATATCAGTTTATGATTATTTTTTTGATTAATTTGCACTCGTCGCGCGTCCAATGGCGCATACTTATACTTGTATATAGTTGAAATTACCCAGTTAAAGAGCCAGTTTACTCGTAGAATGTCTCGGTTTTTTACGTGTAGAATGCGCTCCTCAACGAGTAAACTTGCTTCAAACGATTAAAATAATTTTTTAAAGTATGCCCTAGATCACCTTCTCTTTCTGTACATAAGCTATACAGAAAATGTACAGGGAGAGGTAGTTTTTTTTTTTTGCGTCTTATTTATGTTGCTTTGTAGTCGATGTCCTTTATTTATATACAAGTGTTTGTTATTCATGTAACCATCAAGAAAAACTATCATGACGCACCAAAAAAGTCATTTTATTCTTACACATTTTAATTTTTTTTTTGTTTGTTTGTTCTACTCATAAAAAATTTTGTGGTGCGCCATGGTGGGTGGTGCATGATTAATTTTTTATTGTGAAAGTTGCTGGAAGGCTTTGGACTATTCGAGGCTCAGCAATTTAGATAATTTTTTAATGTAAATAGTTTACGTGTGCTTCTGTATAGAATAACTTAAAATATATATAAATTCCGTCTTATACAGTATTGTATACTGTAAAATGGTACCAGCGCTTTGCAAAGTACCTTCTGAGATGCGTCTTCGCCCACCCAGTTCCTATTTAATGCTCTTTTATGTTTGTTTTGTTTTGTTTTTTGGTCAACAAATCATGTCGTATATTTTTAAAATATCCGGTATTTTGTTTATTTTTTATTTTATTTTTTTTTTGCTGAAAAGCCAATTATTGTTTCTGCTCCCCATCTTGATGCTTAAAAAAACTTGTTTAAGATCCTAGATGCTGTCTGAAGATGTTGTTAAATGTATCTAATGAATTAATAGAAATAATTTATGGTTTTATGATGTTATTAAATTTAATTGATATTTTCTTTGTGGATTTTTAATGCCATTTATATTCAAAAATAGTCAGCGAGTGATGCATAAATTACTCTTTCGTCCGGGTTTTTTTAAAATCGCTTTTTGTACAACCCGGACGAAATCGTAATTAAGCTAACTTGATGCAAGTCAATTTATATCTTTTAATTAATTTCATTATCTTAAATTTATGTTCGTCCTTCAACACCATGATTTTAAATCATGATTCGAAATCCCTTATACCCAAAACTTCACACAACCTTTTTCAGATTTGAATCTCTTATATCAGTGGAAGGATGACCGAAATACTTTATGTAATTCAACAGTTTTGAAATAATTATTTTCATTAACTAAAATTCCTTCTACACTGTTCTGCACATTCAATTTTAATTCAAATGCAATGTCCAAATTTTCTGCAATTTAATTCCGTGGAGTGCGTCAGATGTGGCACGTTCTCGGAACTAAAATGGAGTAAAACTCTTAAACAGAATGATTCGAAATTTCCCTGTATTTCTCTCTCCTCCCTCATCTTACAGGTTGGTGGATGACATGTTACTTTTCTAAAATTTCAGTCCATGGATTGGTGAGCAGCATCTTACTTTCCTAATACTTTCTTTTGCGTAGCCATCTGTTTAATCGTGTCGTAAGATCTTGTCTCGTTTTCCTTGACGTCATTCTTGTCTAGGTCTTCCTCTTTTTGCTTTTCCTTCAAGAATTGTGGAACACTCGTTTAAATGTCTCAAAAGTTGTTTAAATCATACTATTCCTTTGCTTTTTGATTGTTCCTGCTCAATTCTCCCTCTACTCTCATCAATATCTCCTCATTTCTGGCTCTCACCATCCAGCGCCAACAAATATCGAAAACTTATAGTTTTGATTTTTCTCCTATCGAAAAGTGTTTAGAATTCACGTTTCTTATCAGAATAAAGTTTAAAATGTTGAAAAAATATACGAATAATTGAGGTTTAGGGAATTAAAAATTCCGTAGACCCCAACGATTCAAACTTTCTTAATAAAATAAATTCAAAAACAAGATTTATTTCAGCGCGCATCTTTGCGTGTTTTAGTTCTACAAAGTGAAATATCTTAAACAGAATAATTTGACTGAAACGCGTGAAGACTCTCCGAAAATCAATGATTTTCTAATTATATTTGAATTTCTATGAATCAATATGATTTAAATCCGCAAATCAAACATTCCTTTATAAAATTACTCGAAATATTGAATAAAAATCACTGCAAAATTCCACCAACCACAGCTATCGAAATCCCCATTAAATTTCGAAAATCAAAATTTCCCCGAGCGATTCAAAATCGAAATTTCTTAAGCATTAAGAATCCACATAGAAAATAAAAATTCCACACACAAAATACGGGAATATTTACCTCCGAATTTCCATCTAGTCTATGTACCTCATTTCCCAAAAAAAAGAACCTTTGTTTTTTGTAATGACCATGCTCAATCCCTCTTGAAAATGGCATGAATTTGTTACATTCCTTCAAAAGATAATCAGTAACAGAAGGAAAAAAAAAGGAAACATTTCTTGTTACATCAGAAGACAAAACTTTTAGTTAGAATTTTTATGTTAAAATAAAAATTATCCAAGGTAGTAAAATTGTACGGGCTTCCTGCATCATAGAAAAATTATCCTCAGAGCAATGGCAACACTTCCATTAATTCTGATTTCGTCATAAAGAAACCTCTAACGGTTTTCGACTCCGTTTCACAGCGAGCAGGTGTCGAACAGAGTAATTAAAGTATCAACTGTTGTTTTATTCAGTCATCAGTGACCAGTTAAGGATCATTAAGTAAGTCAGACAAAGTGGAACTGTTGGCATTGACTCGTTTAGTAGCAGGTGTTTTATTGTCACGGTCACAATAGAATATTATTTGTGTACTATTGGGACGCAGCTGAAAGCATCAAATGCCGAATAAAAGGTTTTTTCCTTTTTTTGTATTTGTGTTGTGTATGTGTCGTAATTTTTGATCTCTACACCGCATATAACACTGCTTATACAGAGCAAAAAGAAAAAAGAAAAAAAAAGAGGAGGCTGAATGAGAGAGAGAAACCGATGCTGTAGCGGATATAACAGATGGTGCTAATAGGAGCCACACTTTCCTTACTGATGGATTAACAGTTGTAAATAGAAGCTAAGTATATCTAGGAGGGCATAGCTGGCACGTGCCTCTGCTCACCACCTGTCGTGCCTTTACAGCAGATGGCAGCAGCTCTCGAAAGGCTCATTGTCTGTCTTTCTTTCTCTCTTTCTCTCCTCTCTTTTTTTCTCCCTTCCTGTCAATCTGTCTTGATACTAAACTAGACCCTCCAACTCTTAATTCGTTTGCGTTTCACTTATCTAGCTTGTTGCATAATAAATTTATTACTCTTCTGTAGCCCTTTTCCCCATTTACAGCCATATTAAAGAAAAAATTGGCTAGCAATGTGAGAATTTTTATGCCTACTTATAATACTATTAACTGAGTAACTGATGCTTATATAAGTGTTTAAATATACCCTATCCGAAGATGTCAAATATCGAACAATATAGCCAGTTTTACTTATTAAGTTCTGCTTTCTATTATTAGCAGTGAGACAATTTTACCGAAAATTAAACCATCGAACACAATCCCAATTTTCTTTAAGAAATAAAACATGTAGTGTAATGATTATTATGAAGTAAACACGAAATCGTGTTGATTTTCTATTACAAAACTCGATAGTGGTTTTAGGTTGTGCGAGGCCCTAGGCAAGCGTGGTCCCGAGAGGCCCCTTTTTTTATAAGTTTATGTAATGCCTGCATTATACGATACTTAAGATCCAGTAATCTAGAAAATATTGAAGCGAATACTGGTCTGAGACACCGACCGTATCGAAAATTGTATATTTGAGGCGTTTTAAAATGCGAGGCCCTAGGCAAAAGCTTGTTTTTCTATTCCTCTCGAACTTTACGCTTAATTAACTAAAAAACACATTGGTGGTACCATCAAAGATTGATATATATGCTATAAACAGTTACCCAATAGGATCTTTCAGAGACATTGAATTATAATGTAACTGTATAATATTTAATGGATTTATAATAATATATAATAAAGAAGTTAAATCCGTATTGTTCTGCCATAATTCTCCATTAACTCTGAATGCCATTACATGCCTCCATTAAAAATAATATCTTGACAATAAGTTATAATACATTAATCAAATCGATATTAAATTTACTGCATGAGCTTTGCATGTCTTGTGTGTGTCTAGACCTTTAAAATGTCAAATTTATCCTTTAAATAAAATAATTATTTTTAAAAAAAAACTAAAAAACAGAACTCTTTATACAATATTGTGTTTAAGAAATACATTTCGACATCAAGGTTACATGGAAAAAAGAAATAATTTCATAATTTGCATTTAAAATAACCTGGTACTGTCAGTATCACAGATATAAAAATCATTAAAGCGTAATGGTACCATAATGATCATTCCATAAAAAGAAATTTATTTTAAGTAATGTAATCTATCAAAATATGATGCCAAATTGATTTTACATAACGAACTATACATTCTAACGAGAATCGATTGGATATCACTTATGTCAATTACAATTTCAAAAATGGCCGATCGTTATCTTATGGTTTTTCAATATACTCAATTATATTCTACAACAGAA